AAAATGTTGATCGGAGAAGTAAGTAGGTCTATTGTAAATAATAATAATAATAATAAAAGGTGAAAAGGGACAGGAAGTAGAAAGAAAACATGCACATCAAAATAACAAAAAAAAAGAAAGGAAGCGTGTTTTCAGACAAGACCAATATCTTCAATCCCAACACACAAACACACACACACACACACACACACATTTCTCTCACTTCATCGTGAAATTAAAAAAAAAGAGAGAGAAGGCTAAAGAGTGACCCCTCAATTTCCAAGTACCACAGTTGAGTTACTGGTCCATTTGCTGAAGTGGATACGGCATCTAACTCAAACAGCTCAAATTTACGAACCCAAAATCATAAACTTTCCATTTTTCCTTCGAAGTTTTCAACAAATCAAACCCACTGCACCGCCGTCGTACGCCGGAGCTCCACCAAGCTCCATAGAAGAAGAAGGACCAGAACCCAGCTCAAAGGCAGCTCTGTTCTGTATTTGTCTGGTGGGTCGGGTGTCTCTTTTATACGCTTCCCTTTCTTTCTTGTCTCTCTGGCCTACAATCGAATAATTTATTTCCCAAAAGTTCTTGAAGTGAACCACTCTTCATCTAATTCTTTTCCATTTTTTTTTTTTTTAATTTTCCTAAGCTTTCGATCCTCTCTGTTTTTTACTCTGTTTTTTGGGGTTTCAATATACAAGAGGAATTTTCTTATGCTGGCCGGCGATGCCGACGCCGGTGAGCGCTGCGAGGCAATGCTTAACAGAGGAGGCAGCGAGGGCTTTAGACGATGCTGTCTCCGTCGCCCGCCGCCGCTGCCACGCTCAAACTACCTCCCTTCACGCTGTATCTGCTTTACTGTCTTTGCCGTCCTCCGCCCTACGAGATGCCTGCTCACGTGCCCGCAGCTGCGCGTACCCACCACGCCTTCAGTTCCGAGTACTGGACTTGTCCGTCGGCGTATCTCTTGACCGTCTTCCTTCCTCAAAACCCACCGACGAGCCACCGGTTTCGAACTCCCTCATGGCGGCGATTAAACGATCTCAAGCTAATCAACGGCGGCACCCGGAAAGCTTCCATCTTTATCAGATTCATAATCAGCAACAAACCCCCTCGATTTTGAAGGTCGAGCTGAAATATTTCATCTTGTCGATTCTTGATGATCCGATTGTGAGTAGGGTTTTTGGGGAAGCCGGATTTCGAAGCTCTGATATTAAATTAGCGATAATCCACCGTCCTCTCTCCGACCACCCTTCCCGATTCTCCCGCTCTGCCCGTTTCCCTCCCATTTTCCTCTGTAATCTCACCGATTCCGATCTGGGTCACCGGAATTTCCCCTTCCCTTTACTTGCCGGTTATGAAAACATCGACGGCGATGCCAATTCCCGACGAATCGCGGAGGTTCTGATGAGAAAAACAGAGAAAAACCCGTTGTTGGTCGGTGTCTGTGCTGCCGATGCTCTTCAGAGCTTCACCGATTCCGTTAAGAGATCCAAATCGGGAATTCTTCCCCTGGAATTTTCTGGGTTGAGAGTAATTTCAATCGAGAAGGAGATTTCTGAGTTTCTGAATCAAAAACGAAGCAGAGAGACAATGGAATTGAAGTTCGAGGAGGTTTTTGGGATTGTCCAGCAATGTTCAGAGCCTGGGATTGTCGTGAATTATGGAGAATTGAGCGGTTTTATCAGACAAGAACAAGAACAAGAACAGGAACAGGAAAATGGAATGAGCTTTGTCGTGTCTCAACTGACATCTCTGCTGAAGCGTTACAGCGGGAGAGTATGGCTGATTGGAGCTGTCGGGACATACAAAAGACACGAGAAGTTTCTGGTTCGGTTTCCCGACATTGAAAAGGATTGGGATCTTCATCTTCTTCCCATAACTTCCAAGTCTATGGCTGATGCATTTGGGACTAAATCCAGGTGAGTTTTTATTAAATTTAATGAAGATCTTCTGCTGATTACTGCAATCATTTTAGTCGTTTAATCAACACGACATCGTTCGTTTTAGTCCTTCTACTTTCAAAACGTTCGTTTTAGTTGAATGTAAGTTGTAATTTGCAGCTTGATGGGATCTTTTGTTCCATTTGGCGGATTCTTTCCTGCGCAATCGAATTTCTCGAGTCAGTTATGCAGCTTGAATCAACCATTTGTTCGTTGTCAGCAATGCACGGAACAATACGAGCAGGAAGTTGCTGCTATATGGAAGCCAGGATTCGGTACCGTCGTCGGTCGTCCCTCAGAAAGTTCCTTGCAGATGCCATTGATTGAACTTGATGCAAAAAGCAAGGAGCATGACAAGGTAATTAGCTTACAAAAGAAGTGGAACGATATCTGTCGCATTCATCGAAGGCAGCTATTCCCTAAACTTGGTGTTTCCGAGACGAGGCACGAGATGTCGTTTGAGCCGAGTCGATTTGCTTTAGATCATGAACGAAGTGGTGAAGAATCATTGTCTATAACTGCAAATCCTTGCTTGGCTAGAAACTTGCATAACAATTTCGACACGAATCCGAGCAGGCTGATATCGGAGCTTCCCGACATTCGTACCGATATTATCGAATCGAAGTCTGTTGGTCCAAACGGGCGTCTTCACTCTGTTACTACTGATTTGGGGTTGGGGACATTGTATGCATCTGTCAATGAGAACAAGAAAAAAGTTGCAGAACAGGGAAATCAGAAGGTGGTTCATCACTTAACAGGCTCAAATCCAGCTGAGTTTAGTAGACGGTGCGTCGATAATCCGGGACAATCTTCCGGTTTCTCCGATCTGAATCCTGGATATCCACTTGATATAAGAGAATTCAAGTCACTTTGGAATGCACTGAATGAAAAAGTCAGCTGGCAAGGTAAAGCCACGAGTTGTATTGTCGAAACCGTTCTTCGATGTCGAGCTGGTTGTGGAAGGCACCGTAGCTCGAATTCGAGGGGAAATATTTGGTTAACGTTTCTCGGTCCTGACATAATAGGTAAGCGGAGAATTTCCTTAGCACTTGCGGAGTTGTTTGGAAGACACGAGAACATCATCTCGGTTGATTTTGGCTCACAGGACGGTGATCGACAACGAAACTTGCTCTTCGACTGCAAAGGTTTTGATGGTTACAACGAGCAGTTTCGGGGACAAACTGTTGTTGATTATGTTGCTGCAGAGTTGAGGAAGAAATCGCCGTCGGTTGTCATTTTAGAGAACGTAGACAAGGCCGATATTCGGGCTAGGAGCTTCTTGTCCGAGGCTATTACGACCGGTAAGTTCCTGGATTTGCACGGGAGAGAGACTACCATCAATAATACAATCTTCGTGACGACATTGACGAACGAAAAGTTCGAGAAAAGCGCTGATGAGCAGACAGAATTCTCTGAGGAGAGAATACTTGCAGCTAGAAACTGTCAACTGCAAATACTAGTACGAGGTTGTACCAGTGATGTCAGTAGCTGCAACGACATGAATGTAAGGATTACGTCTACCCCACGAGGAAGCTTGAGCCTGTCGCTGAAAAAGAGGAAACTGGACGACGAATCCACCGAGCGGGAAGCAGGCTCGGAAATGCCAAAGAAGTCGTCGTCGTCGTCGTCGTCAATGTCCTTCCTAGACTTGAATCTCCCGGTAGAAGAGGCGGAAGAAGATGGTGATTGTGATAGCGACTCGGTATCAGAAAGCTCAGAAGGATGGCTCGACGAGTTCCTTGAACAAGTAGACGAAAGGGTGGTGTTCGAACCATATGATTTCAAGGGGGCAGCCGAAAGAGTAGTGAAGGAGATTGGCTTGCAGTTTAGAAGGGTGTTTGGGAGCGAGGTCGTGCTGGAGATCGAGACCGATGTCGTAGTCCGAATCGTTGCGGCGAAATGGGTATCGGAGAAGAAGAGAGTGGTGGAGGAATGGGTGGAGATGGTTCTCCATAGAAGCTTTGTTGAAGCAGAACGAAGGTACCAAATGGGGCCTGGTTTTGTGATGAAACTTGTGTGTAAAGAAGAAGAACAAGCAGATGGGATTCTTCTTCCTTCTATAATTGAATTGAATTGAATTGTAATGTAAATTATTATATTTGTAGAATCTAAGTTTTAGCTTTTTGGGTAATCAATCAAATCTTTGCTTTTAAAAGAAAACCCTCTCTCTCGAGCACTCGGGTATATATAGATTGAGTTTTTTAGATATCACGACTCTCCATAATGGTATGAAATTCTCTAAATTAGTCGATGAAGAAAATTTTCTATCAATTTAAAATTTTGGATTGATTGGGTCGAATTCAAATTGGAACAATACATTTGAAATTAGGATGTAGAACCGGAAAATTTTTATTTTCCGGTTTGATTTTGGTTGAATTTCTGGTCAATTTAGTAAACTAGAATTCGAAATTTACTGTTAATGATTGATGTTCAGATGAAGATCAATCATACATTTGTTCTACAAATTCGTCTATCAATCCTTCAAGAATATACCAATCAAAACCTTCAATTATACCTCCAGCTTCAAGTTCTTCATGTTCTTCGCAAATTTCGCTGCATTTCCAATTCGATTCGCCCAAATCCATCTCTGTTATCTTACGAATCTCTTCTTCGAATCTTTCCCGCTGGATCTCATATTCAACCACTTTCGTCTTCGCGATTTTACTTTCGTTGATTATCAAATCATCGTCATTTCGAGATGGACTCAGAGGAATTTCGAGCTCCAGTGATAATTTCCTTCTAGGGTATATGGGGGAATTTGAAGCGGCGTTTCCTGAAAGCAATGGCGCTGATTCTTCGGGATCTATGAGGAATTTACTACTGTCGAGAACTGAAATTGGGCTTAATTCATCGGAGCTGCACTCTGATTCTACTTTTCTGGTTGATTTCTTCTTTTCTTTCGAATCTATTAGGATGAACTGCTTGGCTTCTTCCGGATCGAATCTCTTCTTCTTTGTCTTTCTGATCCTTTGGCTTCTTTGTTTTGCGCTGAATTCTTTACTTTTGATTTCTCCTTCAAAGCTAAGGATGAAGTATTCTTCGTTTTCAAGCTCAAGAAAGGTGGGTATCTCTTGAAATGACTGTGTTGATCTGACCCGTTGATGTTTGCCTTCCAGGTGTTTGTAGAAATGCCCCACAGAGTTCATGGATTGGCTCCTTGCTATCGAATTATGATTTTGCTTCATCTCTGGCAAGGGATCCAAGCCCATTAGTCTCGCCACAATTCCAGATGTGGGTTTGACATTCAAATCCTTGACTTGAAGAAGCTTCTCATCAGAATTCACTGAGCTAGTGTCGTCTGTGATCTGATCGGTCGGGTGCGTCGGGAGGGTACCGGAGCAGAGAATTCGGCGGAGAATTCCCGAAAGACAGCTCGGTGTAGCTAATGCAGCTCTGGGGTTGCAGCCATGAGCATCAAAAGTGGAGGTGGAGAAGGAGGAAGAGGAAGAGCAAGATGGAGAGGGCAACAACTTCATGCTGAGTTCAGGTTAGTAAGGTAAGAAATCCAGTTTGAAAATGAATTACATAGAACAAAGTGAAGAAGAGAAATTTGAATGGGTTATGATGAAAAGTAAGAAAGAAAGAAAGAAAAAGTGTCGGGCTGTGTGTTTGAATAAGCTGCCTGGCCTTGTGGATTATGTCTGCTTCCCCTTTTGATGGGTCTATTTGTTCTGTTTTGTTGTCTTCCCAACTGACTCGAAACATTCAAACAAGCATATTCCGTTCTCCTTGCTCATTGCATGATCATAACAACTTTTGATGTAGACTATGATTTGTTAGCAAAACCCCTCCCGACATTAGTTATTTGTTGTTCTTCGCGTATAGATGGTATAGGGGGCATTCACTGAAGTTTACCGTAATTGTAAGATTCCACATCGATTGGAGAGGAAAACGAGTGCCAACAAAAACGCTATAAAAGTGTGGAAAACATTGTTTATGAGGATGTGGAAACCTCTCTCTAGCAGGTGCGTTCTAAAAACCTTGTGTAACAACCCAAATCCATTGCTAGCAGATATTGTCTTTTTTCGGCTTTCCAACTGATGTGGGATCTCACACCTTGAGGGAAAGCCCAAAAAAGACAACATCTACTAGAGGTGGGTTTGGGCGGTTAGAGTGACACGGCTCTTGGGGCCCATTAGAATGAATAGAGCATCCATCAACTCGCTTTATAATCATTCCTACTTAAGAAGACATGTCATTTTATATGCTGAAAACTGAAAACTGTGTTTATTTTGGTTTGGGGATTGGAGATTGAGTAGTGATGCAATGTTCTGACTCAAAATTCTCTCTGTCTCTCTCTTGGGTTTGCAGCCGAAAATGGTGACCGGTGATTGCTTTTGTTCAAACTGAGCAGCAACCACTCTACAGACCAACAGCAACAACAACGACAGGGAGTGAAATATTAAAGTGGCAATGCAATGTTGGAGGACCAGAAGATTGTGCGCTTGTCCAAACCGACCAGCTCTGGTAACATCATGATTCCCTTTAACATTAGAATATAACACTCAACTTAAATGGTTATAGTTTTGAATCTACCCCGGGGCCTTGTCCTGGACATTGAACTTGAACTCATTAGTAACGTCCTAGTTCAGGGTAAGTGGAGTTGTATAACAAACATAGGCTCGACTTTGATATGTGAAGCTGTAGCTATGTTTCCTTTTAGGAAGCTTGTATTTTGTGGAGTCATAAGATTAGAATACAACACTCGACTAAAAGGTTACAATTTTGAATCTACTTGGAGCCTTGTCCCACACGGTTCAGGGTAAGCGGAGTTGCCTAACAAACATAGGCTCGACTGGTTGAATCCTCACTTACTAAAAGTTTGGATGAAGGGTCAGCAAGTGATATTGAGCACATAAATGGAAAGATTGGTGGGACACAAGCTCTACAGCTTAGCTCACTGTGGTAGGTGGCCCTCACTTTCCCATTTGATCATTTGGGCCTTCTCTGTGTTCAAACCCTAAACCCTATTATATCCATTTTTTTTTTTTTGGGGAAATTTCTAGCCTTCATAGGATGACATTTGTTCACCAAATCTTATAGATTTGTTTTAAATAAATTAAAATTTCCCGGGTTGGCTATGATATATCAACCGTAACAATCCTCCTGGATTGGAAAAGAAAACAAATTTAGTTCAAATGATGGAATTGAGCACTAAAACGTCCTTGGTAACTTCACCTAATTTAACCTATGAAAATAGAGAAGTTTAAACATCTGATCTCTTAGTTGAGAATATACGACCAATTGAGCTATGCTCGTATAGTTTCGTCTCTCTATGTTTGATTGAATACATTATTCAATCGATTAACTTATACCTTTGTAAATTTGATAAAGATTCCTTTGTAAAGTCTAGCTCAACGGATTGAAATACATATATTTAGAATCATAATTTTAATTAAACACGAGAATTAGTAAGCCATTTCAACTATAATATGATTTTTTTACCTTTCATTCAATTTTAATAAATTTAAAGTTAAAAGTTTTTAATTTTAATAATAATAACAAAAATATATTTATTACAAAAAAAAAAAAAATTATTGAAAATATATATAATTATTTTTTTTTTTTGGAGAATCTGTGTGTGAAAAGAAAGAAAGGAGGAGGGAGAAACAAAAAACTTTCGGTGACGAATAAAAGAATTAGAAACGTCTTGAAGTGATTTTCAAGCTTTCGGTTTGAACTTTCTTTCCTATTTTCTTTTTCATTATTTTTTAAATATTATTAAAAAGAAAATTACTTTAATTATGGTAATTCAAAACCCGATATAAAATATTTAAAAAAAAATTACATTTTTCCTTTAATAAAATAAAATAAGCAAAAAAGCAAAAAGAAAAAAGGAAAAAAGGGAAAAAAAGGGAACAACTTTAAATATGAAAGTGAAAGGACAAGTGAGTGGTGGAACCCAACGGTAATAATATAAAATAATATGCCCCTCTTAAATTATAATAAATAAATAAATAAATAAATAAATACATTATTCTTATGCCCACTCCTCCACTCTTATTTAAATAAATAAATAAATAAAGATTAGTTTTTTTAGATATAAAATTTTAATTTTACGTGGAAATTTAATTTTAAAATATATAAATTAATTTTAAAAATAAAAAATGAATATTTATATGATTTTCCCATTTTTGGAATATACTTTTCATTTAATCTTTGAGCTACCCTCCTATATAAAAAATGATATCTTTTAGTACTTCTCAACCACTATATTTAATTTTATAAATATCTGTGATAACTTTTATATATATAATATTATATATATAAAACTTTTATCGTCAAGTCCAGCGTCCTCGCTAGCACTCATTCCTTTAATCGATGTGGGATCGCCACCAAATACACTCCCCTTTGGGGCCTAGCGTCTTTACGGGCACATCGCCTCGTGTCTACCCCCTTCGGGGAACAACGAGAAGGCTGACACATCATTTGGTGTTTGGCTCTAATAGTCACCAAATTCACCTCCTTTCGGGGCCTAGCGTCCTTACTGACACATCGCCTCGTGTCTACCTTCTTTGGGAAACAGCGAGAAGGCTGGTACATTGTCCAATGTTTGGCTCTGATACTATTTGTAACATTGTGATGTCTCACATTAGTTGGGGAGGAGAACAAATCTCCATTTATAAGGATGTAAAAACCTTCTCGTAGCAGACGTGTTTTAAACCTTTAAGAGGAAGCCCGAAATGGAAAGCCCAAAGAAGACGATATAATAGGTTAGCAGTGGTATATATATATATATTATATAATTAATTAATTAATTTTTTTTTAGTGTTTAAAATTTTTGTTGAGTTTTCAAAAGTTAAAAAAAGATGATGAATTTTTTTATTAAAAAAGAAATAAAAAAGGAGTGACTTTAATCTAATCGAAGAATTCAACTGCTTGAAAAGAGAAATCAGTCACTAAACGACAAAAAATAAACGTCCTTTGGTTAGAAGAACAGAGACTAGAACTCGGTCAATTATCGTGCTTATACTAATCGTAAATATCTCACATAAATCTATCAAATACTTAAAAGAGAAAAGTAGCCATTCATTTACGACCAAACATAAAGTCGTATGATTTGAAGTTTTTGTCACCATTTTTTTGTTTTTTTGGTTAAAAAAAAGGTAATTTTTATTTCATAATCATTTAAATCTTATTTGAGACCAATACAACACCGATCATTTTAGTGTTAATTTGAAAATGGGCAATTTAGTCCAACCAAATAGACACTAAACCAAAACACAACTTTTTTTTTATAATTACCACCGATACTCGAAACATATCGAAAGGATTATTACTCTAATTTCGTGAGATACCCATCAACGAGAACCATACAAACAATGAAAAGCAACATCAAACAAGCATATCGAGCGCGAACAAGAAACAAACAGATAAATGCAAAGATACCCACGAACCAGAATCCTAAAAGCACTGAAAATGAACATCAAACTATGTCATAGAGCATTAACCAGAAGCATAAAAGCACTGAAAATCATGATGAAACACGAAGAAAAGGTAAATAGATAAAAGTAGAGATGGGAATGAAATTTTATTTGGATGATGTCTTTGTTTGGTCTTGAATTTGATGGGAAGGGATCAAAAAGGATAATGTTGGTAATACAAGAAGAAGAGCAACAAGAACAAATTCTAAAACAAAGGGTGAGCTAAACTCAACTAAGGTTTGTAAAAGAAATGAATATTTAGTGATGGTGAAGATATGGATCTGTCTGGTAAAAGACAATATTGCCATTATCACTCACGAAGTGGTCTTCTCTAAAGCTATTCACCAGATTCTCCATTAAATGAATTGGTATTGGCCCTGATTTCTTTGGCTCTCTGTAATACTTGCCCAGCACTCCCTTTGCTGCCTTTGTCTGCAAAAACATAAATATTTTTCATCGTCTCGGTTCACGTTTAAATTTCCATTCGATCGACTCCGATTGTGTTCGATGTTATTTTCCGTTACGTTACGTACCTCTGCTTGGTTTACTTGTCGAGATAGTTCAAGAACGATTCGGCAATTTTTTATTTTTTAAAATTTTGTAAAATTTAAAAAATAAAAATGGAATTCACTTTTGGAAAAGATTTGGAAAATGGGTATTTATTTAATTTAAAAATAAGACTAAAGTTTTAATAAATTAATTTTTAAGGTAATATAAGAAATTAGTTAATAAATATATTATAATTTATTTAATTTGAAAATAAGTTAATAAATATATTATAATTTATTAAATTTAAAAATAAGAATAAAGTTTTAATAGAGCAATTAAAGCATAACCAAGTATAGTTTAGCAGATAAGACAAAAATAGGTACCGCTTCAACGAGGTGATAGTGAGGGATTTGTGGAAACAAATGGTGGATAACGTGAGTTCCGATATCATGATGGATGTTGTTGAATAGTCCATAATCACGATCAACGGTGGTCAGGCCGCCACGTAAATAACTCCATTCCTAGCCAAAAAAATTAAAAATAAAATAAAATTTTACCGACTGGGTTGCATAAATTTTCTTTCCCGAGAAAATGCGAGAAAATGCGAGAAAATGTCTCTCTCTCTCTCTCTCTCTCTCTCTCTTAATTTACCTCTCCTCTGTACCATGGCAGCTTCTGTTCATAGCCATGGTGGTGAAGATACGTCACCAAGTCCAGCCACATCACAAATATCTTCAAAATAAAGAAAACCCAAATCATTTTCAGATCCAAAACCAAAGACCCATAAACTTTTTTTCTTTTTTAATGATTAATTTCATGAGTTGTCCCATAAGTTTCTGTTCCTGGAAAATTTGAAACAGACCAAATTTGTTCCTTAATTTCGGCTAAAGGGAATGGAAATGGAGAAGAAAAAACAGAGAGGTTACCCAGTAAGGGACGCCATAGATTTTGAAGATTTGGAAGGGACCAAACACGAAGGACAAATAGACAAGAACAGCCGCCATTAATGCCCAACACGAGGTTGAAATCACTATGTCTTTTCTTTCATTTGGAGCAAACAAATCACTGTTTGGATTGAAATGAGATCCTTTCTTCCCTGGGCTTCTCCACATCTGCAATGCCAACATGATTACCAGTTTCCAGAAATCGAACTGAATTGAACCGAACCGAACGAACCGAATCGAAAAATTACCAGATAAAATGGATATGCAAGAATGGGGAAAGGTAGAGTGAATCTGAGGATTCGTGTTCTTCTCTCCAGCTGCTTGTAAGTCTTCTTCGTCAGCTGACAACAAAAAAAAGGATAAAAACCGCCATTGAAATGGATTTTTAAGCTTTTTTGAAGAACAGGGGAAAAAAACAGAGAGATCTGACAAATCTGACGAACGTACTGGAACCCATGATTCGTCTTTCTCGACATTTCCATGGTTCTGGTGATGGGTTCTGTGGCTTATTCTCCTGTCAATAAAATCAAATCAAATCAAATCATGATTCAGTTTCAGACCCACACAAGAAATCATTCACAGACGGTGATAATGGGGGAAAAACAGAGCAGGAGAGGAACAGAGGAAGAACAGTACCAGCCATGATAAGGAACCAAAATGAAGGAATGAAGAACAAGGCCCACGAGAGTATTAAGCGCAGTACTGTTGGAGAAGCTGCCATGGCCACTGAAAAACAAGCAAAACCAGAGATATCAGAATCGGAATCAGAAGCAAAAAAGGGGGGAAAAAACAGAGGAATCGGAGATTCGAACCAGTCATGGCCGAGGACGAAAATGGCCCAAAACATGGTGCCCTGAGCGACCCAATAGATCGGCCAGAGTAGCCATGAATCGAAGAAGACGGCGGCGGCAATCAATGCAGAGACGACGGCTAAATCGCGAAGAACATAGAGGAGAGAGCGCCAAGGGCTCTTGACCCAGCAATGGGGGGGAATGGCGGCGCGGATCTCGGCGATACGGAACGGAGGAGGGGCGGAGGGATCGAAAGGGGCGAGAGCCGCGGTGCCATTGGCGGTGGCGGTGGCGGAGGCCGGCAAGGGAATGGCCATATCTCCTCCGTGAGAAAATTGGGGGAAAATGGAGTTTGGTTGTGGCTGAGAGTGAAGATTGGGGAAAGCGGTGATTATAAGGGCAGTGCTGATTGGTCTCTCTGGTTACGGAAGACGAGGCCACTGACCCCATCCTCTTGTTTCCATTATAAAAAATATTTAATAATATAATATAATATTCTATTTTTTTTATTTTTAAATTTTAAAAATTTAATAAAAAATATATTAAACTTTCAAATATTTTATTTAATTTTTTTAAAGATTTATACGCTAATTCATATTTAATTAATTAATAATTTTAATTTTTTATTTGATTATTTAATATTATGGCATGTGATTAATATTTTTGGTTTTTCTATTTTTTTTAACACGTTTCGTGATGAGTTAAAACGTTTTAGTATTTAGTGATCAAATTTCATAAAAATTACGGAACGGGTCATTTTGAAACGAAGTGTGCACTAATTAGCACTAATTATCGGTCAATCTCAACCAAACTCGACTCGGGTACTCGTCAAAATCATCCATCATATTTTTAACTAAAAAAGAAAAAGAATATATTGACCGAATTAATTTAATTTTGCATATAATAATAATGGGACACAAAAGGGTTGGTGAGTGAGAATAATTTTTGCAATGTTGAAATTGATTGAAGCATTAATTCTTTGTTTAATTATGATTTTTGATGTCATGGTCATATATTTAAAATAAGTAAACTTACAAACCTAATTGTAAATACCCAAAAATTGGAGGGTAGTGCCAAAAAAACATTTTGGGGAAAAGACCAAACACCTCCAAAGATGAATTAGGTAGGGAAGTAATTTCTCCTCATTTTTTTCTTTTTTTTTTCTAATTTGAAGGTTACCCACATGCTCGAGTCCCGATGATGGAGTAGGAGTAGAGAGGTTCACTTTACCTGCCCGAACGTGGAGACAGGAGATGAAAAGGAATGGAAGGTATTTTTTTCTCGTTAAATAAATGGGGTTGCGGACTGAAAAAAATATTCAGCCATAACTACCCGTGTATAGTGGGCAATGTATTGTAATATAGCTGAAGAATCTGTTATTTCGGCTATTATAATAGTGGTTGTATTGACCTCATTTCTAGTAACTATTCACTCAATTCGGCGCCCCACTCCTTCTATTATAAATATATTTAAACATTAATTAGTTAAAACTATATTATAATATTAAAACTATTTTTTAAAAAGAATAATAAACCGTCAAGAATATTTGGGACTTCTTGAAACAGAAGTACCAGAGAACATGCACGATTGTCAGCTCTTTGTTCGAACTCTCATAATTGCCCGTAGAAAGAAAATTCATGGAGAAAAGATGACAGACATTGACATCATAGAAAAGATCCTCTGCTCAATTTTGGAGTCTAACTATCGATGAGTTACGAAGTAGTCTCTTAGTGCACGAGCTCTGCATGAATGACCATGTTTTTGAGAAAGAACAAACTCTAAAAGTCACACATGATGGAAGTTTTGGTAGCAGAGGAAGACGACGTGGTGACTTTCGAGGACAAGGTAGAGGAAAAGGTCGACAAAGCTTCGACAGATCAACTATGTAATGTTACAACTGTCATGGATTAGGACATTATAGAGCTGCAGAAACCAATGAAGAGATGTTATTAATGGCCTAGGTAGATGAGAAGAAAGCTGAAAAAGAACGACATTTGGTTTCTCGACTCCAGTTGCAGCAATCACATGTGTGGAAAGAAAGAACTTGGGTTGATTGTAGAGACTTTAGTGACATCAAATAGAATGTTTACTTTATTTGTTCAATCTCTACCAAAGGAACAATCCTGCTTCAATGCTATTACAGAAGATCCCGCAAGAACATGCCATTGTCGATATGATCAAGGATTGCCGATCCTTAAAGCTCCCTCAAAAGATGTGAAGTTGGAGGAAGAAAATGTTGGGATTGACATAAAACCCATCGAGAAGAAGCTACAATTGATCTAGAATTAAGTGATGATACCTGCAATGAAGTTGAAAGTTAGGAGGACGAAGTACACAATGATGATTCATGTGAGTCAGCACAAGAACACTCATCTGCCGATAACGAAAGAAGAATTACACAGATGCAACCAAAAATTCTAGATTGATGAAGATTTAGTTTGTGATTTATAAAGCGGTTCAGTTCATCAAAAACATAACTTGGATTGATCTTCGAAACTATGAAGCATGGATTTTATAAAAAAGCTCAAACCATTCTTGAAATCCTCCGTGGAAGAGCTCCTTAGAACATCAATTATTTTGTGGGTATTATTCACACGCCGCTCAAAGTGAATTGGGTAGTCCAAATTGAGTTAACTCTGACATCCATAGATAGCAATCAAAGTGAATTGAGTAGTCCAAATTGGTTAAGTTATCGAGTCATACGAACATTCCATAAAAAATAACAAACTAAAATTTTTAAAAAGATTATTGCAACAATTATATTGTAATTTTATATATAGTAATTGATAAAATAAAAGTTAATTAATAGTAATATAAATTAATTGAAAACAAATATGTATAAATATGATTAAAAAATGTTTAAAAATTGATAAGCATTTATTTTTAGTATTTTTAAATGAATTAAAACTTCTCACTTATTGATATTTTACACCAAAATTGGTTAGAATAATTATGGCATAACAAATTGCAAAACATAGAGATTTAAACGTTTCCATAGGAATACATTTTAATTAGATTTAATGAATCTGATAATTTGAACGACCTAATTCAATGAATTTATTGGAAAGGTGAACGAAACATTCTTTACAAAGGTATGAAAACCTCTCTCTAGGAGATGCGTTTTAAAACTGTGAGACTAATACCAATACGTCATGAGCCAAAGCGGACAATATTCGTTAGTAGTGGGCTGGGGTTGTTAAACATGGTAAAGAGCCAGACACCAAGCAGTGTGCCTGCCCCCAATGGAGTGGATTGTGAGATTCCACATCAGTTGGAGAGGTGAACGAAACATTCCTTATAAGAGTGTAGAAACCTCTTTCGAGTAAACACGTTTTAAAACTGTGAAGTTGACAGAGACACGTAACGGGCCAAAACGGACAATATCTACTAGTAGTGGACTTAGGTTGTTACATAACATAACATGTAGAGTGGATAAGATGTAAACTCTACTCAGGTCTCATGTCACTAACCCAACTGACCCAAAATTTTAGATTGATCCAAAAATTTTCGTCAGCCCAACTGAATTCAACTCGTATATTCTACTAAATATTATTCTTTATTTCACAATAAATTTCTTTCCAAATATATTTAAATCTTTATAGGGAAAGCAAAACCTAAAAGTTTACCTAGAAATTCAACTAAAAAAATAAAAAGATTAATAATATAAAGAAATTAAAAAAAAAAAAAAAAGTCTTCCAAATATAAATATTAAAAATAAAAAATTTACCAAATTAAAAACCATTTAATTAAAACATGATTTACCAATTTTGAATTCCCTAAACTAAATTAAAGTAATAATTAAAATTTAGAGGTGTAAATTGTTTTAATTGTTACATTAAACTCATAAAAAATAACTTAAACAAAACATAGTACAAAGGTTGCATGTTACATGTAAGTAACCAGCTAGCTTACCATGTTTGGTCGGCTTTTATGTCCACACAACTTGTTCCCCACCTTTGTCCACTAAAAGTTTAGCTTTCAATAATATTCAAATTAACAATAATGTAACGTTACGGAAGAGTCGGGCACAAAAACTTCAAGGAATAATCAATTTAAGTATAGTTCAACCGGTTTAGATATATAACTTTGATCAATATGTTACTGATATCGGTAGTTCATGTTTACATATATATCAACGAGGTCGTAACACAACATGTAGAAAAGATAAAGAAGTAGGTAGCTGCTAGCCTTTTCTTTTTCGACCCTTTTGTGGCATTTTTGGTTTAGACTTGAACGGACTGTGTCGTTGATTTGCAGTTGGATCGTCATAATCATTGATATTCATAATCAAAGACCTTTTTCCCAACATTATTGACATCTTCATATCTTCGTCATGTTTTCCTGTATAGACACAAACAGTATCACCTCGTGATATGTTTGTTAATTTTGTTCAAATTTTAGCCTTTTTCATCTCAAAAACTTTTATTTTTGTGTACCGACATCTATTTTATTTTTCTAATAATAATAATAACAGAGTAGGGATCGAGACGGGTTGAAATGGATTGTAAACTTTATTGTAGATGGGTTGGGTAGACCCAAGCAATAAAAAATTAACCCGAGAATTGAACCAACATCCATGTCAACGGACATCCATCCCGACTTAAAATTTTAATTTTTAATTTAAAATGGAAGAAAAGAAAGGCATTAAAGTTTAGATGGGTAGAAATAAAATAGGATATAAATTTATATAATAAATAAATAAATAAGAAAGAATCTTTTATTGAATGGGGAACCTGGTGATGATTTGGATTTAAAATTGACCACTTGCTTCAAAATATTTATTATTTATTTATTTATATTTTTTATTTGTGCTTTATCACGTGCGAATGCATTTCTCGGGATATGGTCACGTGATTTTTTAACAATTTTTTCTACAATAACAAATTATTTGAACGGGTGTCTGCTTTTTCTTACTTTTTGGATGTCGCTTTTAATATTAAATATAATATTTATTATTAAATTTGGGGAACAATTAGATCTAATTAAAAATAAATAAATAAATAATAATAATAATTCTATCAAGTAAAATTGTTAATTTTTACAAATATGTTTAAATGAATTAATATATCTCATTCTAGTTAATCCACTTTAGTTATTAATTTAATTAGACTAATTTATAAATTTTCAACAATAATTAATTTATTCTAACATGTTTCGTTAATATATTTTCCTTTTTAGTCGATTGATAACGATTTGAGGTTAAAAAATCGAGTGAATATCATTATTTTTTTTTTTTATTAAATAAATGCTGGATAGAAACAAAATTTTAATAAAAGTTTCGAAAATTTTGGTTTTTTTTTTTTTTAAGAAACAATAAAAATAAATAAATAAAAAAAGAACATGTTTGTTTCTTTTTTAAAAATAAATAAATAAAAACGTTATCAAATCACCTATAAATTGATAAAGGGATAAGAATATCCTAAAAATATAATTAAAAAAATACATTGACCAAAATGTTAATATAAAGAATTACCTAAAATAATTTTATTTATGTTTGATATAAATATAGTTTTTTATTATTCTTTAAAACTATTTTCACATGCACTATCCAAGTTCAATGAATGAAGAGTACAATCATTATTTTTCTTTTAATATAAATAAAAATTGAGAGAAACCCAATCATATATTTTATTAATACAATCAAATTTCATATTTATAACAAATATAATATATATAAATTATATTGTAATTAAAATATATACGGTTAAAGATTTAAATATTTTCCTGCTATATATTATTAAATAAAGATAATTTATTGGGTGTAATCTTTTTCGGATTTGAATGTGTTTAATATATATATAAATAATGAGATTACTGTAATGGGTTTGTCTTATGACAGAGTTCAAATGACCGACTCATTAACTCGATTCGATTCGTGGGTTACTATTTTTTTTTAGTCGAGTCAACCCAACCAACTTGAAAAATAGGAATATAAGCAGATTATTTGGCGTTTGTACATTCTGACTTGTGAATATTTGATATTATGTGATTTTTGTTATAACATATATTTTTGATAAATTAGACACTTTTTAAAAATAATTAAAAAAAAAAAGAGTAGATTGGTTTCGATTGAATTATGAACTCTATCTATTCGGGTTGGCCCAAAAGATTTTCCCAACCTAATCCAACTTAACCCGTGTACACACCCCTATCTCGTAATTTCTATTAAACGTGAGTTCGAACAATCTTATAGCCCTAAGAACCATTATATAAAAATTTGAGTTTCTCACTCTCATACATTCAATCGTCACTGACATCCTAGTCGCATACTTGAATATTTACGATGAAGTTCGGTTCTAAGCGTCTCGTTTTAAATTTACTCGGACCATAAATGAACCTTAAACCGACCTTTTTGTTTTTCAGTTCATCAAACCAGGATGAGCGTTTAAAATCGTTTGATTTCAAGAATGCCAAAACCGCTCAACTATGTTCGAATCGAACCCAAATCAAATAAAATTCATAGTCTAACACTTACAAAGAACAAGACATACCTGAAACTGGCAAGCACCATGCTATGAGCACCATGAACAGCAACAACGAACCTAAACGACCTGCCCTTAGTCCCATATCTCCCTTTTCCTCCCTCTTCCACCTCTGTGTTAATGTGTTTATAAAGAACAGCAAAAGTTCATCAAAGACGCCATTAATGGCCGCAAATTATAACACATGAAGATGGAAGTTGACCTGTTTCCCAAATAATGGGTATAGCCCACGTTTCTCATCCACGTGATTGATCAATCACTACACTTTTGAGTTGATCATAGCCGTCCAATTTCATGGTCAACGGCCTGATCAGTTGACTTTTGCTATGGCTCAATCAATCACTACACTTTTGAGTTGATCATAGCCGTCCATTTTCATGGTCAACAGCCTGATCAGTTGACTTTTGCTATGGCTTAGTTTACCAGTAAAAGAAAGTGCCCTAATTTTGTAAGGGCACCCCACTATTCATAGGGCACCGACACGGTGGTTTCACATGTTTTGATCTTATGAATAATTATGAAATTGTAAGATTCCACATCGATTGAAGAGGAGAACGAAACATTTATTCTTACAAGGGTGTGGAAAGCTCTCCCCTCTGTTTTAAATACTGCTAGCAGATATTGTCCATTTTGACTTGTTACATATCGCCATTATTTTCACCGTTTTAAAACGAATCGGCTGGAGAGAGGTTTTCACACCTTTACATGTTTCGTTCACCTCTCTACCTGTTATGGAATCTCATATGCAATCTCAAAGGTGAACGATTTTCCTACAATGCCATTGATGGGAAAGAACCAATGCACTTTCTCTTCCTGTCCGAAAACTTTTTCTAAGAAATCCCACTATCAAAAGCCATAGAAAGCAACTACCAAATCTCAAAACTGTTCATCTCATCAACTTTGGTTCCCAAACTTCATTGTATTTTAGGTTGACTTGGGGCATGTTACTCCCTTTGAATCATCATTAGTTCAAGTACAAAAGAGATGGATGATTGACTTCATACCTCAATAGATGGATCCCCTCCATTAGTTTGGTTGAGCCGAGTTCCTATCAACCAATATCAATTCAATACAATCACCCATCCGAGAATAAATTACCATTCTAAAAGTCGAAGGTTCAATCCTTACCTCTGCAATTGTTGTACTAAAAAACATACACAATCAATCGAGTTCCCAATTCTCACGAATGGCCTCAGCCCCAACTACTGTTCTCATTCTGAATCGTCAGCATATACATACATGTCTAAGGGAGTTTGAGATTAGAAATCAGAAATCCATCATATTACAGAAAGATCCATCCGAGGAAGATAACTGATTGTGCTTTTACTTTACCGTTTCTTGAATCCATATTTCTTACGTTCATAGAACAAGTCAGTTTTTGCACTGCCTAAGTTAACAATCTTTGGACATCCATCTCTATCTTTCTCCTGCTGTGTACACTCTTTGCAGTAGTAGGCATCTGAAATTCCTACTCCTCCACAGATCACACACCGCCCTTGGAAAGACCCGTAATTGCATTCATCGCACACCCGAACGAGAGTACAGGGACGGACATAAGAATCACATATTACACACTTCCCGTCGCACTTCTCACAAAGTCGGCCAATGGCGATTCCTGGCTGCTTTCTGCACATAATCAAATCGGGATGATGCTTGGCCATGCTTTTTGCAACTGCAACAATCCTTCAAGTTCCTGTCAATTTTGTAACCTGCAGATGGATTTTCAAACTTGAACTTTTAGAATTAACTTCATGCACCCCACCAAATGGAAATCTTAAACACAAATAAACGATTAGGCATATGAATTAAGCCACACAAAAAGGATGGAAGAGTAGCAACCCCTAGTGTTTGTAAATATGATCTCATTGAGCTTCTCGCCACAAGCAATGAGACCGTTTTTCTATTAAGTCACAATTGAGTAAGAAACCATTTTGGTCGTATTGTATCCAACTAAAGCAAATAAGAACAGATTCAAATGAGTGATGCATATCATTAGAGTCCCTTGATATTTGGTCATTGAAGCTCAAGCACAGGCTAAATATGTTACATAACTGCACAACAGCAGACTAGAATCAAACTTCAAATTTCACTCTTCTTATAAAGTGCGAGATCCCACATCGGTTGGAGGGGGGAACGAAGCATTCCTTATAAAGGTGTGGAAATCTCTCCCTAACAAATGCGTTTTAAAACCTTGAGGGGAAACCCGAAAGGCAAAGTCCAAAGAGGACGATATCTACTAGCAGTGGGTTTTGGCTGGTACAAATGGTATCAAAGCTAGACATCGGTCGGTGTGCCAATGAGGACACTGGCCCCCAAGGGAGGTGGATTGTGAGAACGCATAGCAGTTGGAGAGGAGCACGAAGCATTCTTTATAAAGGAGTGGAAACCTCTCCCTAACAAATGTGTTTTAAAACCTTGAGGGGAAGCTCGAAAGGGAAAGTCCAAAGAGGACAATATCTGCTAGCAATGAGTTTGAGTTGTTACAAATGGTATGAGAACCAGACCGGGCGGTGTGCCAACGAGGACGACGACCCCCAAGGGAGGTGGATTGTAAGATCCCATAGCGGTTGGAAAGGGGAACGAAGCATTCCTGTGTGAAAACATCTTCCTAACAAACGCATTTTAAAACCATGCGGGGAAGCCCAAAAGGGAAAGTCCAAAGAGGACAATATATGCTAACGGTGGGTTTAGGCTATTCAAATGGTATCAGAGCCAGACACCGAGTGGTGTGCCAGCGAGGATGCTAGCCCCCAAGGGAGGTGGATTGTAAGATCCTATGGCGATTGGAGAGGGGAACGAAACATTTCTTATAAGGGTGTGAAAACCTCTCCCTAACAGACGCGTTATAAAACCTTCAGGGGAAGCCCAAAAGGGAAAACTTAAAGAGAACAATATTTGCTAGTTTAAAAGAAAACAACAAATTTGCATCCTAAATATGGTATATATTCACAATGAAGTTGGAATTTCCCAAATGAAGAGTAAATAATTTAGCTAGAAACTTGATAAAATTATCGGCCAACTCTACTTCCATCCCTGAACATTTAAATTGCATGCTGTCATGCAAGGATAAACAAATCCCACTTAAGTAAGACATTTAAATTCTGTTCTCTACTCTTCTTTTTGAGTTTGCTTCTTTTTTTCCCCATGAATGGTTGTTAGACCCAAGAATGCTGCAGCGTTTTAATCTAACAAGATAGCCATTGTCCAAGGATGTAGCAGCTTTGAAAAAATCAATAATATGACAGCTTAGAAAAATTCAATGAGAAAGAGTATATTTCAGTAGAGAAGTCATCCTTTTCATATTGAAATGCAACCTATGTAAATTGAAAGATGAAATTGAGCAAAGTAAATTGAGAAAAAATAAATGTGAGCATTTCATTAGAGAATATGAAATGTAGAACTCTTGAATGCGACTGAGGTTAAAAATCAGAAATTTCTCTTGTAATTCCTGCTTTCTGTGTTTGGTCCGTTACCGTGGATCGAATCCTGACCAAGGGGTCTATGGTAATCAGGCCATTTTGTTAATCTTTTTGTAGGAGGACAACTAAGTTCTTGTTTTTGGGTTCTTTTCCAACCCAATATCGAATAAAACATGTTGAGCCAAGTCTTGGTTCATGTAAAACCTACTTTACGTAGATCGGAAAAATCATACGATTTTACGAAACCATGTGCTACGGCATGAATACGTAGTCAATCCTATTTATGATAGGAGAAGTTGACAATTGAATCCAATTTTGCCCACTATTTTCCTATATCATAGGAAGGGCCTGGATCATCTTCTTCCGGGTGTAATTTTTTCGAGTTGTTTGGAGTCGTTTCTTGAAAGTGACCATATATTGTTTTACATGAATTTCCAATCGCCCTGTTGGGAGGATCTCATAGAATAAAATGATTGGTTCATTCCCATTTAACTGAACGATTACTCCTAATGAACAATTGAAAAATATGTCTAGAATCATGTTCGAAATCAGATTTGAGTTTCTCAGTGTTTGATTCGTATTCCAATCAATAATATGTCTGGATTCATGTTCTTATTTCCATAAATTCAAAGTATCATTGGTTACTGCATTGGTTAATTGAGGGAGAGAATTTCAATTTTCAAAAAAAAAATATCATATACAAATAAAAAATAAGGTTAATGAATCAAGCTAGGAATGAAAATAGAATTAGATGACTGATTTATGTCCGAATCAGAACAGCTTGCCGCAAGGCTGTTCTATTCATTAGACAAGTCCTAATTTGTGTTTTTCAAGTGAGAAGAAAGACATAGATGGAGATCGGAAGAATACCGGTAACAATGCAGTAGAAAAATCAGCGGCAAGACTGCTAGGTAGGAGGCTGCTGCAGCGGCGGCAACACTGAGCTTCTGAAACGGAGGAGGAGAGGGCGGGGAGCACGGATGAAAGAGTTAGGGCTTTACTCTTTTTTTTTTTTTTTTTTTTTTTTGGCTAATTAATAAAAATGATTATTTCAAATATATAATAATATACTTAAAATTTTTTTAAGATATATGTTTAAAAAAATAACTTTAATACCTTAAAAGAAATTAAAATTTAAAATTGTTTTTTTAAATTAAAAATATATTAAATAATATGAACGTTTTTTTAAAAATATATTAAATAATTTAAAAATTAAAAATTAAAAACGAAGAACCGTTCTAGAAAACTCTAAAAATTAGAATATGAACGTTTAATTTTCTAAAGGGAAGAAGCTTCAAGAAAATTTTGAAGACTTGAAGATAAAAGTTTACGGTTCTAAACCAATGTTACTTCACGTTAGTTTGATAATAATTTAGTTGTTTTTAGTTTATAAATATATTTCAACCTACCAATCTCTTTTAGTTAGGTTAGGTTGTAATTTTCTCTCAGAAACTAAAATAAAATAATTTTAAATGGAACACTCAGTAATACGTCTATTTAGAAATGACTATCTAAATGGAACATCGGAACAACACCGACAATGATATCAATGAAGAATTGATACGGCGAAATGGTATCGATGAGAGGTACGACGTATCGCACATAATATCCTATTCATAAGAAGATTGTGGATGAAGTGATAAGGGACACGAGGAAGGCAAGTATTTGTTGGAAATCATAATGTCGTTTGAGCTACTTCAATAGTGATTAGCCTGGTTGACTACGATAGATTAGTTGATCGTAGTCATTAGTTGAACGCATCATAACTTATACAATGATGGTTGTCATTGGTTAATCCATATAGATTAGTTGGAAAATAAATCATAAAAAAATATATAATTAAACTTTTAATTTTGTTAAATTTATTTTATTTTTTAAAATTCAAAAGAGTTATATCATTTGAATCAAATATAGATGATAATTAAAATATTATTTTCTAAACTAACTTCAAATTGATTAATAATTTAAAATTAAATGTAAACACATATTTGTATTTATATCAAGTATTTTCTCAAATTTCCTAATCAACACGTAGAAGAAAATAAAATTTAACACAAAACGCAGCGTTGCATGTGATAGAGACGTTGGTACATGACGTGTTCTCCAACGGTCGCCTTAAGGAAAAAATCAAAATACTTGAAATTACAAAACTGCCCCTTCCTCACGAGTCATTGGTAACGGTAACTTCCCAGAACTCTCCTGAACTCTGATCTTTGTGCCCACCCATTGCTCACACCTTCAGTTTTTTTTTCCTTTTTTTCAGTCGGGAGATAATTGAATCCCACTTTTGAATTTTTATGATTTTTGACTTCTTTTTATCCATAATTACCTTATTGCCCTCCCATTTCTAAACCCTATTCCATTTTTACCCCTAATGTTCCCTCTCTGACTCCAAACAACGAAGGATAATGATGGAAACGGGATAGGAGAAATTTCTTTCTATTCCGAGTTTAACCAAGGGTTCCCCCTCCTCAAACGAACATCTCTAAACAACGAAGGAATACTTAGTACCAGACATTGATCTTTTGGTCTCTCATACATCAAACCCGACACAAAATTAGCAGCACACTCGAAATTTGTTAAATTTTAAGGCTTATTGTCTAGTCTTTTTACCGAACATGTCCAATAAATTTTCAACGCGTACGATAATTAAGTCGGCACACGTCCATAGTTTCAATACCTTAATGCTTAAAGGTGTAGATACTATTTCACTATTTGGACTTAGTCATCCTACGTTGAAAAAGACACAAATGTATCATATGTAACATGTTTGTTTATTTTTCTTCCTTAATAAATGGAAACGACAATACATTATGTTCTTTGGCTGCCGACTCGACTATATCCCTGGACTCTTGAGTCAGAAACCAAAAGCAAAGAGGGGCAAATTGGGTATTTCACATGGTGTGAAAAGGAATATTTAGTCAAAATGCGTTAAAAATGATCCAAATCCACCTGGCCCACCCCCCGCTATGAACACGCGCTGACCCATTCCCCATTTATAGTCCCGTTTATCTTTTCCCATTTTTTCGAAATCTAAATTAAATCCCTTAAATTTCAATTTCATTTGAAGAAAATTTCACTTCTGGGTGTTTGATTTTCTCTGTGTTCTTGAATTTGGGTCTTTTTTTCGGAAGATGTCGGTCTCCGTCGCGGTGTCCAACTCGCCGGGATTTTCCCCTTCCTCCTCGATGTTCTGCAACAAGACGTCGATTATTTCTCCGGCACCGGAGGCGCTGACACTCACTTTGGCTCATTTGAATTCATCGTCTTGCTCTTCTTCGCCTTCTTCGCCTTCTTCCCCTTTTCGGATTCGGTTTCCGAAGCCCCCTTCTGGGCTTTCCGCAGCGGCGGTGGCTTCCACCTCTTCTCCTTCATCGGCGTCGTCCGGCGCGATATTGAAAAGGAAAAGACCAGCGAGGTTGGATATTCCGTTGATGCCGTTGAGTTTTGCGGCTCCGGTGATGCCGTCGCCGTCGTCGTTCAGGGAGGTTGTGGAGGCAGAGAGAGATGGGTACTCTGTGTATTGCAAGAGAGGGAGGCGGAGAGTTTCCATGGAAGATCGGTATTCTGCCGTCGTTGATCTTCGAGGAAATTCCAAAGAGGTAAAAAATCGTTTAAGAAATTCGATTTTTAGAGGATTTCTGGGTCAAGGGGATTAATTTTGTGTTGTTGTTGTCGATTTTTCAGGCGTTTTTTGGTGTTTTTGATGGACATGGCGGCGCAAAAGCTGCAGAATTTGCAGCAAATAACTTAGAGAAGAACATTTTGAATGAAATTGAAACAATGGCTGATAACGAAACTGATTTTGAAGAAGCCATTAAACATGGCTACCTCACCACAGATTCTGAGTTCCTCAAGGAGGATCAACGCGGTGGCTCATGTTGTGTGACAGCCCTGATCAAGAACGGCAACCTCGTCGTCTCCAACATCGGTGACTGTCGTGCTGTTCTCAGCAGCCACGGCGTTGCTGAGGCCATCACGTCGGACCACCGCCCGTCCCGGGAAGACGAAAGGCAGCGGATTGAGTCCACGGTAAGAATTGAATTGGTAGATGACGATGACGATGATGATCACGATCACGATTGAACTGAATTTGGTGGCTTTTGTGTTGTTGCAGGGTGGATATGTTGATATGTGCAATAATGGGGTTTGGAGAGTGCAGGGGTCTCTGGCTGTCACAAGAGGTATTGGTGATGCTCACCTCAAACGATGGGTGATAGCTGAGCCTGAGACGAGGGCGATTCGTATCGAGCCTCGACATGAGTTCTTGATCTTGGCCTCAGATGGATTATGGGATACGGTAAGCAATTCTAGTACATGTGTCTTAAAACAACGAGGATGATAGTCATAGGCTAATGAACAAAGCAGACAATATTTACTAGAGTTGGGTTTAGACTGTTACAAATGGTATGAGAGCTAGACATTTGGTTGTGTGCCAGTGAAGATGGTGGGCCCTCAATAGGGTGGACTATGAGATCCTATATTGTTTAGAGAGAGAAACAAAATATTCTTTATAAAAATGTGGAAACCTCTCACGCGTTTTAAAATTAATGAGTCAAAATAGACAATATCTAATAGCGGTGGGCTTGAATCGTTACAAAATAAAACCATTGTGATCGTAATTGTATTGAGTTGTTTGGTGGGTTTTGTTTTTTCAGGTGAGCAATCAAGAAGCAGTGGAGATTGCATATCCATTGTGTGTAGGGATTGAGAAGGCGCAGCCATTGGTGGCGTGTAAAAAGCTTGTGGAGCTATCTATTTCAAGGGGCTCAGTTGATGACATTAGTGTAGTACTCATTCAATTGCCTAACTTCATCTAATTGATATCAATTCTTGAGTGTACTAACGAATTTTGTATCTCTGTTAGCGTTTCATTAGTGTATTATTAGTATAATTGACGGATCATATTCTTTTGTATTTATCCCTCCAAAATTTAATAATATTCATTTTCGTATCATCTCGTCGTTAGATTTAACCTTTTCTTATCAACGGAGTTATACTTGAATTTGGTTTAAATATATTTCAACGTCTCTTATTCGATTGTCTTCAAGTTAAATATTGATATATCAACTTTGATTCTTTGACGGTGTAATTTTGCATCCCACCAACGATCTTTCCAGAGGACTTATCCATATCGATAGAACATCATACATGTTGCCACGTGTGTAGTTGTTTCTATTACTGTTACAAAACATCATGCATGTTGTATTAATTGTTGTTGAATTTCTTAATTCCTCAAACATTTGAAAATCACTTGTAGTTTGTTGTTTTATATAAAACGAGGTCTAATTCCACAGGTTAAAATTAGACAAGTACGTGGTTCAACTAAGGGAAACGATGATGACGTTCTTAGAGTGACAAATGGCTTGGTATAAGTTACAAATATTAGATGAACCCAACTCTCCACAATGATATGATATTATCCAGTTTGAGCATAAGCTCTCTCTTTGGGCTTCCCCAAAAGGTCTTATACAAATGGAGATAGTATTATTTGATTATAAACCCATGATCATTCCCTAAATTAGCAGATATGAGACTTTCATCCAACAACAAATACACAAATTATACCTAATTAAAGCAAAACTTTTTAAGTCGTTCCAAAATGATTGACTAGAGGTACTAATTTTATGATGACAAGTTCATGGTTCGATTAAATTAAACGACGATGACGATCATAGAGTTATAAACGACTCATTTTAATAACATAATAGAAGAATAGTGCGTAAGTATATATATATAGATAGATAGATATATAAACGAGAATCCAAGTGAAAGATCGAAGCAACAGAAGTGGGAAACCAATTATTTTATTATTTAATTTTAAAAAAATTTGAAAAAGTAAAGAAAATATGCTGATTTTGAGTCAACACGTTCTTGAATTCTTCAAATCCATTAATTTTAATTTAATGCCTCTTTTATACTTTCGTTCTTTCACATTACTGATTCCAATAAATAAATAAATAAATAAATAAATATATATATAAGGATTTTTTAACAAGTTTTTTCAAAAATTTGAGCTACAAAAT